CTGAGTGTGGAGTCATCAGGGCTGTCTACTGGAGTCTGGCTGGTGAACTTTGAGTCAAACTGGCTGACGTCGTCGGCTGATTGCTGCCAAAACAAGTGAGTGGGTTAGTCCGATCAACAGGTGCGTCTTCACATCATGTGCAGCACAGGACAGGCAGCGTGAACACTTGTGTTTCAGCATCAACGTATGCGAGTTAGAAACTACAGAAAGATATTCTCTTTGGAAAAAAACAAAACATTTTATTTAAAAAGGAAGCAACTTTAGATTTAAAAAAATTGAGAAAATGTGATTTGTTTTACAACTTCATACATCCCAACAATTTCAATAACTTAAACAAACCTCTACTAACAAGACCTTATTTATCAGGTGATCTGAAAAAAAATAAAAAAATAAAATGGCACGGTGGCGCAGTTGGTAGAGCTGCCGCCCCAGACCGAATCCCGGCTGGGGGCCTTTCTGGGAGGAGTTTGCATGTTCTCTCCAGGTACTCCAGTTTCCTCCCACACACCAAAAACATGCATGTTAGTCTGATTGGTAACTCTAAATTGTCCCTAGGTGAGAGAGAGTGAATGGTTGTTTGTCTCTTTGTGTCCCTGTGATGGACTGGAGACCTGTCCAGGGTGTCCCCTGCCTCTCACACTGTGATAGCTGGATAAGGGCACCAGTGACCCCCCGTGACATGAAAAGAAAGAAGCGGGTGAAGAATGGACAATAATGTAAAAACACATCAGGAGATACATGTGCAGGTGTCCCTGACACCAACACAAAGTGTCCTACTGCAGAGCACCTCATGGTCTGTGATGACATCATATTGAAATTTTTAAATGAATAAGTTGGACATTTATATCAACATCACTAATGTCTTGAAAGCTGCAGAAACGAGTGTTATTAAGCAAGTTTTTTGATAATATGCCTAAAATTACTGAGCTCATACTTTAACTGCAGGTACTACATTATGTCAGCAGGGGGCAGAGTCGCACCATCTAAAATATAAGCTCCATTTACTTGCATCATAGCACAAGATACCTTTAGAAGACATAGCAAAGAAAAGTTTACTGTAAAATTCAAACATTACTTTAAAAACTTATCTCCAATTAAACTAAAAGTTTTCCTAAATCGATCTAAAGTGTGAAACATGGCAAGGAAACGGATTATCTTTCTTCAGGCAGAATTGATATAAAAGCAGAAGACAGCTGCTATAGAAGCTACAATGTCCCAAGTTATGAGTTAATGGACAAAAAAAAGTTTTTTGTCAGCAGTAGATATGCTTGAAAATAGAAGAAGTTTTAAAAGAGCTGCTGGTTGACTCTTAACATTATTATAGAGGTCAGCCACTGCATAACAAGTTGGTTTTCTTCTTAAGACTTCAAAAAATTAAAACGTGACTGGGTTGCTAAAAGTATTGATGTTCGTAGTGCTTTCAGTGAAAATCACTACTGCTGGTCATTGAAAGAAAAACAACAACTTTACAGCCATGACAAGTCAAAGAAGGTGAGTATATCAGGGCTAAACTCACCAGAAATGGTTTAAACGGAGGCTCTACTTTACGAGCGAGGAGGTCGTCCCAGTTTATATATCGAAAGAAGGGTTCGGCCTGAAAGAAAGCATCGCAGAATGATTTTCATGCTTCACAAAGACACGTTGCAAACAACCATG